GCCGGGGGACGGACCCCTGGCCTCTTCACGCTGTCTGCGCTGGCTCTGTGAGTGCCCGCAGCCGCCAGTCGGGGGGAAAGGCAGCTCCCCACAGCACCCCCGCCACGGGCAGCTTTATCCCCGAGCAGGGCCCACAGGGCCCGGGCAGTGCAGCGGTTCCACGGGTGCCCCTGTTGGTGTCACACACCGCTCGCTCTGGCGCTGCTCCTCTCCGAGGCCATCGGGGACGGCTGGTCCAGGGTTCAGGCTCAGTTTGCTGCTGGTATTCAGCGAATGCTGTGCAACTTCAGTCATTCATCTGCAAGTTTCTTTCTGCCTTTCCCCTCAAAAAACTTCAATTGGCTTTCTTTGCACCTGTTCCTCTGGCCGATGAGCCGGGTGTCCTGGAGCAACACAACACGGTGGAGGGGACGGGTTTGGCCTGGCCTGCATCCTTGTGGAGAACAGTCAAGAAGGATGATGTGAATTAGAGGGTGGAAATCTGTGGCAATTGCTCCTGCTTTGGCTGATCATCCAAAGTGCTGATTTACACCAGCTGCAAAAAGACCAGAATCACAATGCTCACCTGCCTAGTGTGTGAGGGAAACGCTCAATTCTGACTCTTTTCTGAAATAATCAGCTTGTTTCAGCCTTTCCTGTGCCTTTCGATTGCTTGTATGAGAAACACAGATCGCTGAGGCGAGGTCTCCCTTGACTTTGGGGCAGTGATGTGAGTTATATGCAGCACTAATCCTTGAAGGCGCCTGAGGGACGGGGAGCAGGGTTGTGCCCGTTCCATGCCAGCGTTCCTTGCATTGCGGGATTCCCCTGTGCCCTGAGTGTCCAGGCTGTGCTCCCACCCAGCTCATCGCTCAGGCATGCCGGCCTTTGGGATCCCTGCCCTTGGCTGGCAGCTGCAATTAGCTGCAGTGCCAATGTGGTTGGTACATATGCTTGAAGTGGAGGCTTGGAAATACAGGCTTGGGTTATTCGCCACTGCAGGGTAAATTTGGGAGGTCAGAAAGGGAGCTCTTGAGAGTTAGTGGCAGGAGCAGTGATTCTATAATGGGGCTGAATTGCTCAGATGCTGGGTGTGTTTTGTGTAGAAGTAGTAATTGAAAGTATATTAAAAGTAAAGAAAGTAAAAATACCTGTATTACAGCTAGTAATTATTGACTCAATTTCCTGGCAGAAATATATTTGTTTTCTGACAGGAAAATGTTTCAGTGAAAGTAAGAGTTTGCTGAAATTAATAGAATTTTAAACAGTGCTGCGCTTGTTTGAAAGCAGAGGGTAAAACTCACTTGGGTTGTTTGGGAGTTTCTTTGCTGTTGGAATTGCTTAGCCTTTTGTGGGATAGAAGAAAAAAGAAAGAAAGGTGAAAAAAGGAATGAAAGTGAAAGAAGAAAATACTTTAACGCTTATAAAAATCTATTTAGTTTTAGCATAAAACACCAAAACTAGAAGACAATGTAACTTTGTTTAATGGGTTTGGGGGTTTTCTTTCCAGATCATTAATTTAAAACAGTCTGGTTTTGATTCTAAATTGATTTTGGTCATTTTTCCATATTATAAAACAGTTAATACGGGAAGTTTTTACTTTGGTCTGTTCTAATGGGTTTGGGATTTTGGTTTAGTGTAACTAATGTTTTGTAATATAAAAGCGTGCCACAGGGAATGCTTCTGAGTTTGGCAAACGGTTTAATGATTCAGTTTATGTCAGGTGTATTTGAGAAAGTCAGATTATTCAGCTGTTACCTCAGTCACTTGAAACTGGTTTCCTTAGGACAGAAGAAAGACTAAGGAAAAAAAAAAAGCAAGGCTGTTAGCAAGGGAAGTGCTCCAAAAGTTTTGTTCTCACCTCTGATTTCTGTATTCTGCTCTTGTTCATTGGTGGGTGGATATTTATCATTGGTTTGATATGTATAAACTAGTCAGTGATTGTCACATAATTTGTTAATGACAGGCTAATAACTTACCTGTGCAGGGAAAACTTCATTACAGAGGAGAAATAGAACTCCTCTTGAGAGGGATTCTGTCACTCTCTACAGAAGAGTGGGTTTCTGTAGATTGATGTAAGACAAGCTGCACTAAAAAGGGCCCTTCTGTACTGCAATAAGAATGTCTTTATCCAGGGATTGTACTGATATTAAGTATGTGTGTTTAAATATATGCTGGAAACTGTGATTTCTTAGGGTAAATATGATCCTATTTTATGGTCATGCAGAGTTTAGGAAGAATGTTAAGAGATGAGGCAGGACATGTTTCTAGTGCCTGAAAGTTTCTAGTGCCTGAAACTGCCATCTCAGAGCTTGTATCCTATTTCTGTGTTTGCTACAGCTTTGTTTCATGTCTGTAGTAAAACCGTTCACACAGGATAAGCATATTTATAATACTTTGCTGCCTTGTGGTATTTGGCCTATGTTAAGGAGAGTTTGATACAGCAATAAAAGGTGATTATGTGAGGAGAACTTCTATTTCAGCTGAATTTTAAGTGTGTGAAGGTTATCTTTTGTTGGCTTACGCCCTTGTGCTGTGCCAATGGCAGTTGCTTTGGGTCATCAAGTGTTTGATCTATTTTGGGCATTTGCTAAGTGTGATTGTTGAGTGAAAGCCAGGGAGAGATATCTGTGGAAGGCAGGATAGGATAACATGAAGTGATAAGTCATGGGAAACACCAGTGCATCAGAGGTACCACTAGGGGTCCGAACACCGTGCAACAGCTTTGTCCTCAGCCTTTTAAAGCAAGGCTCTGGGCTTAGATGGGATGGGTCCTTTGTGGGAGATTTAACTTACTGTCACAGTTCTGATGTATAACTGAAATACTCCTCATCATCTGACAGTGGTGCAGCTGTGGCTCTAAGTGTTGATGTAGCAGCCCTTCTGCTTGACATAAAGCAGTCAAGAAATTTTTCTCCTAATGTTGGTTTTGCTAACATCAACTAAAAATATATATTTATGTAGAAGTGCTAGGAGAATTTCTGTTCCTTTGAAGTAATAGAAGGAGCGTGTTTGGAAAGGAATTGATACTCAACATGCCACCCATGTATTAGAAGACAATGGTTTGTAAAAAGGGCTGGGGCAAACAAAGCAACCAATCTTTTTTCTGAGGTGAGTGAATGATGGCAGCTTGGGTGTGTATTGAGGAATTGTTAGATTTTTACAATGTATTTTCTGCTTACATTATCTGCTTTTGCTGGAGAAAAATCTTCAATTTGTATGCCTTTCAGTTTGACAGGAATACTGCAATTGCTCTTGGATACTTAGTCCTGTTTTATGGGTCTGCTGAATCTTCTTGCAACAATGAATTGAACTTATTTCTAAAGGATCAAAACAGAGCTTTGTTTGCTTGTGAAATATACTTTACAAAATGGACCAGTCAGATGCTAATGACTGCAATTTAAAAATATGTAGGAGCTGTATAGAGATATAAAACTTGTAAGTCCCCAGTGCATCTGAAGGAAGCAGCATCTGGGATTCATAAAACAAAGCACATTACATTGACAAGATATGCTGTTGGGTGTACAGATGTGTGAGAATAACAATATGTCTCGATGTAGTGTTACGGAGACTTAGCCTCTTGCAAGATGTAATGAATGTCATTCTTCATTAATATTCTAGTTGCATCATCCTTGAGCATCAATGAAAGACCAAGTATGGCTCTCTTCAAGCAACAGAAGGTGGAGGACGTTTACGAAATTGAGGAAGAGCTGGGAAGGTAAGGTCATACTGGTGACACCACATGATTCTAAAGGCTGACACATGGGGATATTTGCTTCTTCCTTCTGCATGATAGCCTAGATCAGTTACAATATAAAGCAATAAAACACACACCTTGACAAAGACTGCACTTTGGATGGGATTTTTTGGTAGTTTTTTGGGTTTTTTCTTTAGATTAAATATGCTAACTGTTTTTCCTGTTCCTTTACTTGCAACTAGGACAACAAAAGGTATGTTTGCATTATATTTCGTAGGTAGGTGTCACCTGTGTCTGTGCTTTAGACTTCAGTTCTGGTGCCCATTCTCGGAGCCAGCTGGGAAGCAGGAGCTTGTGGTGCTGTCACCACAGACACAGCACTTTTATTTGTCCTGTTGTTTTGAGCAGCACTCCACAGCACTGTTGTTCTCAACTGGCTCCAAGCACTGACATCATATGTTCATTTGTGCCTGCAAAAAAAAGGTGCTTATATTCCTGAAAGGCTTTACCTCTCAAATCTTCAGCTGGAGTGGTTAATGCTTGTATACAGCTTTTAATGTATAAAGGTTTATCCACAGGTGTGTAATTACCAACTGTTACCGTGCTTAACCATGAGCACCTGCTTAAACACTGCTGGGTTTGTGGACTGGATACCCCAGGACTCCCAGTTAATGAGCAACATACAGTGCTCTGGGTGAGGATGGCTGGTTTCCATTCAGTGTCCAGCCCTCTAATGCTTCCATCTTTATATGCAAATAAATAAATTAGGGCTATACACAGGTTGGCTTCTTTCCCAGTGTCTGGCAGTTGTTTTTGATAAATGATAAATGAGTGTGTATGTGCCATCACCCTTTTTTAAGGGCCAGTAATGAGTTCTGTTAAAACACTTCAGTTGATGCTATGTCCCTGCTGATTTTTTTTTTTCACTTTCAGCTATTTCATCTTTAGAGTTATTGAGAAGACTTGTTTTCAAGGGAGAGGGGTTGAGGTTTGTTTGTTTGTTTATTTGTTTTCCATTCCCTTCCCTTTCAGGAAGGCCATAACTATTAAATTTCCCATAACTGCTTACTCTTAAGTATTGCCTAGTACTAGTAGAGAGTTTCAGTCTTACAATGAAAACCTGACAACAGTGAGCAGTAAAAAAAATTCAATGTGTGTATGTGGGGTGTAAGAGGTGTGGTTTTTAACTTAGGAGGCCCTAGGTTAAACAGCCAAACTACTAAAATGAAAAACTAGAGACTGAGTAGTTTATTTTTACTTTGGTTTCTAAATTGGTTTTGGGTATCTTTGGAGTTGATGAACTTCATTCTCCAAGCTGATGGATATTGGGGATTTTGAATGGAGAAGTGTAGCTGAAACAATCTGGCAAAGGCTGATCATTGCTGCTTGAATCAGCCTGAGAGGCTGGTCAAGGTTTGTGTGGTCACAGCAGCCCTCCTCCTCTCCAGGCTGCAGGTATAATGTCACACTGTCTTTGTCAGTGTGTTTTCACTTTCAAGTTTTGTGTGTCAAATGTGCAGTGTCAACTGGGTCCTCACAGCTCTTTATCTCTGAGCAGTACCTACTGATAAGGGCCAGTGACAAATGGTATCCTGCTTTGGTAGAAGGAAGTTAACATGTTGGACAGATTGCAGTGCCTGATCTTTTCCATTGCTGACCAATGCCCTTAGAACCTGTAGATGCCTTTCATTAGTTCAGTTTGCAGCAAGCTTTTACTTACTGACAGGTAGAGGTAGGTTAGAGTATTCGTTTATTATCATTCTGGCAGCAGAAGTCAAAAAACAAATGTTTTCACACAACATCTGTGATGAATCTGTCCTGTTCTTGTCCTTCTCACTGAATTTGTCACTTCTTATGAACAAAACTAGTTGTTAACATGGGCCTAGTGCTTGTTCTAGCTGTTCATCTGTTTATCTAGCACCTGTTTATCTGAAAGTCTTTGTGCAGCGCTCAGGAAAGGATGCTCTCACCACGGGCTACAGAGACTGAACTCTGGTTTGGTGATGAAAGGAGGCACTTCCTGTTTGTGCAGCATTGAGGGTGACCACAGCTAAGCTCTCCAGCCGTGTAAAACTCTGCCCATGGAGAGTGTGGGCTGGCACAGCCCAGCTGCATCATCCTCGGAGTCCCTGCAGAGCTGGAAGCAGCTGGCAGGGGGCTGCCCATGCAGTTGTCTCGTGTGCCAAGGCAGGGCTGTGAGAGAAGGCGTTTTGCAGAGAAGGGGGCAGGTTTTCCATGGCTGAAGCTGTGTGCCCTGACCAGCTGTTTTGCTCCAACATTCCATCAGTCTTTCAAATATTAATCTTATACCAACCTCTGTTGCTCAGTTTCTCCAAAGGGTACACAAAGGGAGCAATCTGTCAGGCAAATGGCATTAGCGACCACTTGCTGATGGCCTTGTTCATTATAACAGCTCTGTTTGGGAAGCTTAGCATGGCCTATGCTGAATGTGTGCATTACTTCAAATACACATAATAACTGTGTTGCTTTACTCAAGATAGTATCAGTCACTTTCAAGTCTGTGGGGACTGAGGTTCTGTAGCCATAGCTGAAAGGAAGCTTAAAAAGAGGACTATCTAAAGTGAATCTAGCAAATTTCAACATTGTAAAGAAATAATAGGGCTTTAACAATTCAGGCTGTTTTGAGGAGGGTCCTGGCCTAAGCTATTTGCAGGGATGTTAATAGCATGCCAAATCAGTGAAAATACTCCTTGAAAAATGTGAGGAAGTGAAGACTAACTTTTCTTCTGGGGAATAGGCAGCGGGTCAGATACGACTAATTGCTGGTTCTTGTGGCAAGGGAGGTGATGGCTGGAGACAACCAAGAATGAAAAGTCTTAAATCAAGGGTGGAGTAGGCCCAGAGAAAGAACTGCCCTGCTGAGCTAGGGATATAGTTTCCAGGAAAGTGACAGCAATAAAGTTCACTGGAAAGCCTTTAATATAATATTTCAATTGTTGTTTAGTTGTGTGTGGTTTGCTGAACAAAAAGTGTTGTGTGAATATGCAGGAGCCCTTTCCAGCTGTACTAGCAAACACTGATAATGGTGGTAGGTACTGGAATTTGAGATGTGCAGTGTGATTTATAAAAGGATGTACCATAGAGTCATTAATCTATTACCTAAATGTGGTGCCAGCCAGGCTGTGAGAGCTGATGACATTTGTGACTCATGGGCAGTGTCACTGTTATGTGTCAAGCTGGAGCTGAGGGTAGGAAGTGTCATGGAGCTTTTCCCAGAGTGTTTTGTGACAGTGCCCATTGAGAAAGTGTGTTCCTGCAGGGTGGTGTGGGCCTGGCACTGATATCCTGGGCTAGTGTCCTGCTCCTGCAGTTCAGCCCTGCATCATGCAAGGGCTCACACTTAACAGAGAAAAACAGACAAACCTTGGAGTGATATTTCTGGGCGTGGAAGTCTCCCCCTTTCCTTCACTGTTGTCTTTTCACTGTAGGGAAGGGGCTCTGCCTTCCTCCACAGTGTGGGCCAGCCTTACCACCTGCCACTCCAGTTTCTTGCCTGTCTCAGTAACTGAGCTCTGTGCTCATCCCTCATCTGCTGGGCCAGTCAACACCTTCAGGCAGAAAATAATCACTGTGATTTCTGTTGATTAATTTGGGCATAATTAAGCCTCCAGTTTCTCAGCCCCTGATGACCTGAGCTGTGGTTCATGGTTAAAGCCAAGCTAAATCTTTCCTTGGTGGCTTGTTATGCCTCCTGTAGTTCCCTATCTCCAGCTACAAGTTCTTGCTTCCTCTCTGCTTGTGTGTGGAGGATCAACTCTGGGAGAGGGAAACCCCATTTTCTGGGTGAAACTTTAATGGACAGCAAATGCAGCATTTTACCTGTGGACCATGGGACCTTGGAGCCTGGCACAAGTTCTGGCAGTGTAGCTAGGTATTTGTTTATGTAGTGGAAACAAAAAGCAGAGATAACCCAGGTGTTCCTTGTAGGGCAGGAACCTGGAAATCTAGGATACAAAAGTCATGGCCTCCAGCTAGTTGGATTCTCCCTGCTAAACAGAAGGCTGTGGTTGCAGCTGGGAATGTTACCCTTAATAATTACACCACACAATATCTTCATACCAGGAATGGTTTTTTCTTACTGTAGAAATTGCTCAGTACTGTGCTTTCTCAGACATGACCTTTAACTCTGTTCTTTGAATAGTTTGCACTTGGAATTAGTTCTTTAAATTTTGAAGAATAACTTTGGATTACTTTATCTTACAACACACACAGAGCAGGTCTTTGTGTTTGATGCAAAATGTTAATTTAATTCCTGAGGACTACCCAGGTCCTCAGAACCAGCACTTCTGTTAATGTTTCTTGTTCCAAATCTTCTAAGTCATGTTTCATGTATGCGAATCTTCTGCTGAAACAGTTTTGGCATCTGGTACTTGGTCACAATCACTGCGGTTGTTATCAGCTATCTGATACAGTCCCTGTTCTTGATTTTTTCTTTTTAATTCCTTTAGCAGGCTTCCCTATTAGTTTTCAATGCTACCCTAACTGTTTACAAAATAAAATATTTGTTTTCAGAAAGTACAGAGATGAAAAGTTTTGTTTGTTTTTTTCCTAATAACAAAGTTGCTCTACCTACAGTAACAGAGAAGAGCTGGCCTCGGCCTTACTTTGTAATAAAGTCACGCATTCCTTATCATCAGCATCCACCTTGATAATGGAAATGATCTCAGTGTTTCTCCTTAGTCCATGTTTGGCTTTGAGAGTGTAATTAGAGATGAAAAACCTGTGTGGCTGTGCTCACAAAGCTCAAATTTTGTAATGTATTTAACTACTGAATATTAATCTCAGGAGAAAGACATTGCATGTTAATCCCAATCTTTGTTTTTCCATTTCTATTAAAATGAAAGTATTTTTTTCCATTTTACATTGCAGTAGAAAGCAGATGGAAGTTTCAACAGCTGAGAAAATATACTCTGTATAGTATTAATTCCATACTTTTAAAATTAAAAAGATTACTTATGAGTCAAAGTGCACATGAAACAAACACAGTGCAGCTCAAATTCTAACAGTGATAAAGCACTGGACAAGCTGTTAACATCTAATGCAGAATTGAACTCACAGGTATGTATCTGATGGTCCAGCTTAATTTATCTCAGGTAACATCTATTAATCCTTGCTAACACTCTATACCAGCAGTTTGAACCAGGGTGGAGACCTGTTGTAATAGCTGAGCAGTGAAATGGGAGTTTCAGCAACACTTTGCAGTTTTGGCCTTAGAGATAATTTCCTAAAATCTTCAGTGAAATGCCACCATTGTTTCCATCTGTTTGATACATAGGGAAGGAGAAAAGTAATTTAACTATTTGGCCATAATTCTGCTCTCCTCTTACAACTCATGTGCTCCTAGGTCTATTACTCGCAGTCCATATCTAGGTTGGTTTGGACCTTTACACACACAGGTGCAGCGTGCTAACCTTCCTCATACACATTACCTCTGCCCTGCTGTTGCTGCACATGGCGAGAGGAACAGCTTATCAGATCAGCTATTCCTGCTGAGCATGAGTCAGCTGTGACCTTCCCCGTCTCTCTGCACTCTGCTCATTGCCACTCCAAGCACTGATACTCAATCCAAAAGCTAGTTCTGATAAGCAGGGAATAAAATTTGCATTTTATTCTTGAGCTTCAGATTACACAAAAAACTTGCCAGGCTATCAGGAACTTGGCAGAACTGCTGGGCTCATGCTTTATCACTGCTGACTCTGCACCTCCAGTCCCAGGAGGAGCTGATAAGGGCCACATTGATAGTCACTGCGGGATTGGGAACTTTCCAAAAACATTGAACAGTTTCAGGAGATGCTGTTGATGACTCAGTAGGTGGCACAATTTCTTGTGACTCGCAGCTAAGGACCCCACGAGGTGTTTAAGGTATTAATTGTGTTACTGTACAGATAGCTTGTAATAATTCATAGCATAAGTGTGTGTTGGTGTCCATACATGCAGGGGAGCAATAGGAGATTACAAGGGAATTGGTATTGTAATAGTTATAGTCTGGGACAATTATTTATGTCAAAGGAGAAGACAGGAATTCCTATGCTGTGTCATTGTTACTTTTGTAAGCTTTTGCATAAACAGAAATGTACAAAATCCACAGTATCACTGGAATTTCTAAACGCAAAAGTTACTGTGTTCATTCTCAAAATAAGCACTCATAAAAAAATATTTTCCCCTGAACTTTGACAAAATTTGTCCCTAGAGAGGATTGAAGGAAACAAACACAGGAATATTTATATCATGTTTCTTCAGGAAGTTGGAACCAAGCAAGATGCATGTGTTGCAAATTTATGATCATACAAACAAGAAAAACACAAAACCCATGGTGTTTTACACAAGCAGCTCTCAGCACTGCAGAACAAACTCTAAGTAGAATGTTTAAGTCAAGTCTGGAGATGTTGTAGTGGGAATTTCTCTACAGATTGCATGGAATGATAAAAGCAGGAGAAATATGAATCAATTAAAGCATGTGACAAATGTCCACAGTCTTGATTCCATTTGTGACTGATTATTCCTAAAGGGATAAGTACACTTGGCCCATCTGTTCCTGCCTCTCTCCTGAGAAGGGTGTAGGATATGTATGAAAGTGAAAGCCTAAAATAAGTATGTCAGGCTGCCTGGTATTTGTTTGAACTCTGAAATGAGAGGCTGTCTCTGCCATAGGGTGGGAGCCTTTGAGAGCAATTGAGCACCAAGTGACAGTCTTAGTTTTTAATTTCTTTGCCTTTGTATGTTTAAGACAGACACCAGTTGGATGTCTGTGTTGATGAAGCACTAAGTACAGCGTGTAATGAGGTGCTGAATATAATTACTGCATAATTTAAATGCCAACTGTACTTGCATTTTTGTATTTCTCATTTACCAAGCCAGTGAATGATATAATATTATAAACAACAACAGTCAGTGCTTATACAATGTAGTCATGGGGTGGGGGTGCACTTAATGGATTTGTTTGTGATTCTTTTAAAGAAATCCTGTCTGATAAAATCACAGTAGCTAAAGGTTATGGCTACCTGTAGGATGAGTCTTTTCCTTCTGAGTCTGGATATAATGTCCTGAATAAGGAAGCAGCTGATACTAAATGTATACTCTGGGACTGGAGATCTGCCAATTCATAGGAGATAAGGTGGTAATTTTGCAGTTGGACTACATTAGGAGCCATGGTGAGGAAAATTTTATTAGTAAATTGCAAATTTGTGCCTTTTAGTCTTAATGCAGCCACTGTACTATTTGGTACACTGGGAAATTCTTAGTCCTTGAGGTGCAGTGAGAAACCTGCACTTACTCTAGTTATATTTACAGCCAAATTATCAAATGAATGCATAAATACGAGTATGCATTTTTTTTTAAAATTTGAAAATTAGTTACTGGAGGCCAGTTTTGCATTTCCAAAGAGTAATCATTCCTTTGAGTTCTTCTCTAGAGACTATTCTTAAAACAAATATTTTAGTGTGTGTATGTGCTCTTTCAGAACATCCAGTGGTGTGTTGCAGACTTGAATGTCTTAAGCATTACTGAGTGAAGTAGCAGTAACTTGAACCTTTTGAGACAGATCTTACTCATTTAAACATGAACTGTATTTTAGAGGTTTTAACTCCTTTTATCATCCTTTATCATTATCAGTCATTGTCTGGCTTTGCTAAATTTCAGACACTGTAGGAGGCTACCTTGTTAAGCTCTACTGCCTTTGACTGCAGAGTCCTGACAGTCCTCACTCTTGTACCACCAACAAGCTCAGTAGTGCTCAGTGATGCTGTCAAGAGCTTGCAGGATCAGGCTTTGTATGGGACTGGCTTATTTGCAAAGCTATCATATAAAAGCCTCAAGAGCATTTTTGTTGTCTCCTTGTCCTGGCAGTGGTCAGTTTGCTATAGTGAAGAAGTGTCGAGAGAAGAGCACAGGGGTGGAATATGCTGCCAAGTTCATCAAGAAGCGCCAGAGCCAGGCCAGCCGGCGCGGGGTGAGCCGGGAGGAGATCGAGCGCGAGGTCACCATTCTGCAGCAGATCCTGCATGCCAACATCGTCAAGCTGCATGATATCTACGAGAACAAGACAGATGTGGTCCTCATCCTGGAGCTGTGAGTAAGGGCCCTTCCCTGCAGGGGTGGCTGAGGTGAATAGAAACCAGAGAGCACTGCAGAGGCTGCTGGAGCACAGGGGTGCTGATAAATGGAGCTGTTGCATTCTCAAGCTTCAAAAATCTTGGCAAGAGCACTCACTGACTGAGGTGGGTGGTAAACAGGCCCCCCAGCTCATCCATGTGCCCTGAGGATACAGGTGCACCTTAACATCAGCTGAGGTCCTTTGATACTGAGCCAGGGAATCTTAATAACTTGAAAACAGTTTACTAGGGGAAGGATTACCTCATGTCTGCCTAAGAGCATGAACCTTGGAGGAAGTACAAGTGGCTGCTGAATGCTTGTTTCATTTTTCTTCCTGCTTTCATCTCTTTCAATACATGTGAGGCCATCAAGCCTTTTCCAAAATTCACAGCCATTTTCATTACTCCCATATTTTCCTCATTTAGATCAGCTAGGGAAGGAAAGGGGAAGAGGGCAAGGGAAGGGGGTTTTTAATCACTAGGAATTGACTGTTGAGGGTGAATAGCAGCAGGATGGGAATGAAGAAGAGCTCTTTTCTCTTGTGCCACCGTATGAGAGGGAAAACCACTACTATTTAGGTCCTGCTGACAAGTGGACCTCTTTACCCCTACATGCAAAATGATGCAATTTTTCAGTGTGTATGGGGCAGGAAATACAGTCACTGTGGTTGAAGTTAGGTAGACCATATGTTCCCTAGGACACCAGCCTGGACCTTGTTATGGAATCCAGGCAATGAGGCTTTCATCCCTGAGGGAGCTCTTTAGGGGAGCCAGCATTTCGGCCAGGGAGCATTCCTGGAGATCAGTGTGACTGCTGGAAGATGGCATGTGAGTGATGCTGAGCATCTGTTAACTCTGAAGTATATGTCCATGGCCAAATGTTGATCTCTGTAGCCAAGCTCTGGAAGACATGGAAGGAGTTTCCTCTTTCTCACTACTTTGACTACTTTGAGCTAAAGCAACCTAGTGTTTCATTACCTTCTGTTTTTTTCTGTCCTCATATGGCCTGACACATTTTGTCTGTCCTTTTGTCAGGCTACGTATTCCACTTTGTAAAACCTGCATTCAGCTGGATTTTGACCTGATTAAGGCCTCTGCATTCAGCTGCTGTATACAAATTGAGAATGATGATTATTGCTAATAAAGATAATTAAATCCTCTCTGTAAATAGATGATCTTTTCCCCTCTGACACCCTGCTCTCAGAGTCTCGTGTTCCCTGCTGTTTATCAAAATAGGTGGTACAGCACCTGGCTAACCAATCTTATGGTGATCTACAGTGAATTTCAGCTTCAAAAGAATGGCCCCAGTATTGCTGGGTAATTAAAGAAGCTGTCCTGGTGTTTAAAAGAGGATTTGTCTGAAAGGTTGACCCTCTCCCCTACTCACAGTGCTGGCAAAACCATCTCCTCTTTTCAGATGGGTCAGTTCCATAGGTGCTGGTTCTCCTGTTCAAGAGCAGTGCCAGGTCCATTGCTGTGCAGTTTTGCAGGTACAAAGCTTCTCTTTGCTTCTGCACATTGTCCAGGGACTTTCTCCCCACAGCTTTCCGTGGGGTTGTTGTTCTCTGTCTCCTGGGCCCTGCCTGGAGCCTGCTTTATCCAAGCAGAAGCAGCCTGGATTGATACACCAATGTCTCCTCTACAGGTGTCAGGGCTGTGTACACAGAACAGCTCTGTCCAATAAGTAAGGCAGCATTATTTGTCTTTTATTGGACTTCAAAGGAAAAGTAAAGGTATCATTTGCTTGTTTCCTTGCCGTGGTATTAGGTGACATGGTAAAAGGGAAAGAGATGGAACCAGAGGAAGGAATTCTGTGAGAGTTGAGAAACGAGCATTTCACAGTATCACAGAATCACAGAATGACTGGGTTGGAAGAGACCTTCAAGATTGAGTCCAACCGATGCGTAATACCTCAACTAAACCATGGCACCAAGTGCCATATCCAGTCTTTTTTTAAACACATCCAGGGATGGGGACTCCACCATCTCCCCAGGCAGACCATTGCCAGTATTTTATCACTCTTTCCGTGATGAACTTTTTCTTCATGTCCAACCTAAATTTCCCTTGGCACAGCTTAAGGCTGTGTCCTCTTGTTCTGTTGGTTGCTGTCTGGTGAAAGGAACTGACCACCCCAGAGAGTGATAAGGTCACCTCTGAGTCTCCTTTTCTCCAGGCTAGACAACCCCAGCTCCCTGCGGGTGATGATTGAGAAAACAAACTTCCTTGGATGTTCAGATGTAACTTGATGCAGTTATGACTGTTTTACTGCAAAGGAAATAGTGCTTGAAGGTGTGGTTTTTTTCTGGGATTCCATAATGGCTGGCTTTTGGGATTGCTAAATTTCTTCTGCTTGAGTTTCTCTGAATTCAGGTGTATAACTTGGATAAGAATGATCTTGCAATATACTGCTTACCACTCTCTAGGTACAGTTTACTGAAGCCTGGTTTTGAAGCTTGAGACTTTGTTAATGATAAATCATATCTTCTACTGAATTTCCCTTTAGATTACTATTTTGAGATCTTAGTCTATACCTCAAAAGACAAGATTAATACAATGTTTTCATGTATGCCCTTCTCTGGTCTTCAGAAAATGAAATGCTCGTGTGGTTATTGTAGAAGGGAGTCTTTTGTCAATAAAGACAATAACAGACTTTGAGCTTTCAGAATTTTTTTTTGTTTCCTTTATTTTTATGTTGTATTTTATGTTGTATTCTGTTGCTTGGAAAGCCCTCTCCCTAGCCTTATTGCATGTTAGCATGAACTAAAGAGAAGAGGGAAAATACACCAAGGAGCTCTCAAGTAAATATCCTGTGATCCTCATTCTTGTAGGCTGCAGTTTCTTCAGTTGTGCCTTGGGCACAGCTGGTTGCCCAGGATGTTGGTGACATTGCCATTGGGGCAAACTCCCTTGTGTGCTCTGAGCAGCTGACCCAGCTGGTTTAAGTGTCCAGTGTAGGAACAGCAAGAGAGAATGAGAATTAAGTAGCTCCAGTCTGGGCAGCTGAACTATTTTCTGACATTGTAGCAGAAGAGGTTGCTCTGAAGGGAGTTGCCAGTCTGCTCCAAGCAGGAAGGTATCTTCAAACACCCTGAGCAGAGCAAAGGGCTCTGCCAAAGTGGCTCAGCCTGGGAGCTCTCCTGAAGTGAGAGTTCTGCAGGACTGGGGCTGGGCTTTCGTCTGGCCTCAGGGAGGTTAAAGAGGACAGTTTAAGAAACAATCACCATGGAGATTTTGCAGGGTAGAAGAGGAAGAGAGAACAGCGTGCCTACATGGTTACATTCCAGAAAAGTACAAGAACATACCCTAGTCCAGATGGCTTCCTGATGACCGGATGGAGTGTTTGCCAGAGGTGATTGCTTAAATTGCACTCTGAGTAGAAATCATTTAATAAATGGGACTCACCTGCTCACTGTATGCAGATTTCACCAAGCAACTACCAGGTTTTTCTTACAGATTTCTGTACTGGTTTGTCACAGTAGTCTAGTAACTGTTGCACTGCTGAACCAAGGCCTCTAAGCCTACTACAACATGGAAAGGAGACAGTGTTCTCTGTTGTACAGGGTACAACCAAACCTGTCCAGAAAGGCTGATGGTAGTGCTGAGACCCTTGGTAGGTGTCACCTAGAAAAGCAAATCAAGAGATCAAGTAATAGTGTCACAGGTTGTATAACTGAGATTAATAGGAACAAGAAGGTGCCAGCCAAAGACAGCAGTTGCAACATATTTCTGGGTCATATAAGTCTGTTTTTCGTTTGCCAGCCATTTAGTTGTAACAGTTAAAGCATTAAGTGACTTCTGCCCAGGTGAAGGGAGGTAACTTCTGCCCAGGTGAAGTGTTGTTCCTCACATTGCTTTGAAAAGTTTCCAACTATGTGAGAGGTGTGAAAAAAATACCTGGTAATCAATGGGCAAGTCACTATGTCCAGTCTCTGGAACAGCAAGGCATGTTGTCACCCACAGGAACAGCAGGGGAAGTTAAGACACAAGTCCAATGTTTTTGTGGCTTTTGACATGCTGTTCTTGCTTGCAGTCGACTTGTCCTTGCAGATCTCGTAGCTGTTGACAGTAGCTTCCTCTGAACGAGGCAGAGTAGGGAATCACCATATTGTCACCACCAGTGTTGTGTAGGAGCCTGGGGTCAGAGAAGCAATTCCCCAAAGACCTCTGGAGCACCCAGTGTGATCTGACCTTGTTTGTGACTCACAGCACCTGAGGAACTCAAAGCATTTTGACCTGCTACTGCTTTGACAGGCAGTTCATTGGGCAACAAGGCCGAGAGCTTGTTTTCCAAATTGACTGTAGCATCTCTCAGGTCCTTTGCTTGCACTCTGAGCACAGGTGCACCAGCCCCCACGAGTAGCAACTGTTTTGTGGGTTCCCCCAAAAGTGAATCTGAATGAGAATAAAGAAATAATACTAATGACAGTGTGAACTGGCAACAATAAATGTGAACATAATAATGAATAATAGCTGCAAGCAATGCCTAATTCAATATTTAGGTCATGTTTCAGATAAGCGGAAAAATAGCAATGGAAGTCTCGTAAAAGGCACAGAAATTAAAATAAAGGCTTATATACTAATTAGGGTGGAATGGATTTCAGCTTTGATGTGAAAACTTGTAGTAACTAAGAGCACTTCATTGATTTGGGAAGAGGTTTTTTTGTACCTTCCAGCCTGCTACAATCTGCTTTCTTCTTGAGAGATTCAGCACCAAAGAAATCCTTTCCTGTTACTTACATCAGGCAAGAATCTGTAGTAGGACAGGGTGATGGCCATTCTGGAAAGAAAAGAGATTCTGTTGGCTCATTTTACTACCTCAGGTTCTGGTGGCAACCACTAAGAAAAGTAATTCTTCAGCAGCTGTTGACTCTTACAACTTGTTCATACAAAAAAAAAAATGTTGAAAAATAGCAGTTGAAGTGGTTGACTTTTTGAAATAGGTGCATGTCTGGAGATTCGGCAAACAATGTAACTCTGGTTCTGGTCCTTTGTGGTCCTTGCAGCATCAATGGAAAAGCCAGTCCTGAATTTACAGGGAAGAGAGCTGAAGCCAAAAGGAAGTTTGGGCACACCTGGGACCAGAACACAAAATTCATGATTGTCTGTAGGAGTAGACTTTTTCTAACTGTACTGAGGTTCTTTGCTGCTTTAGTTTTCTGTGCTTACACTTACTTTACACTGGATTACAGTGCAGGAGATAACAGGATGTATTTTGCAGGGTTTGTGGAGGAGAACTTTTTGACTTCCTGGCACAGAAGGAGTCTTTGAGTGAAGAGGAAGCAACCAGGTTCATCAAGCAGATTTTGGATGGTGTGCATTACCTTCACTCTAAGAAAATTGCTCACTTTGACCTAAAGGTAAAGATGTTGATTTAGGCTTTGGCTGATTTGAAACTGCTAATTTTAATATTTAATACCAGTAATGTCAGGTGGTCAATAAAGATGTAAGAATTGCAAGATAGAAATCAGAAAGCATAAGTAAAGAATCGTTTAACTGATAGTGACTATCACATAACCTAATATGTATTCACTTAATAACTCTCTTGGATTTTAAAGGACTGTGTGTGGAGTTCAGGAAGTGTTAAATTAGACATGTATTTTTAAGCAGTGATCTGATTAGACAGAGAATGGTTCATCATTATCTCATCACTTGACAGGGCTCCATTGGTTGCAGTGGAGCTACAATGGTTTATACCAACTAAGGAATAAAACAGTCCTCCAAGAGGTAGTGACAGTGACTTTTTCCATTTCAGTCTGTTCTGTCTGTTCTAAAGGAGCTTACATTATGTGTCTGTGGTGTACATATATGTCCTAGATCCATGGAAGAAAACTAGACTTGTTACCCTGAGGCTAAAACATGCTTGCTCTAATGCCTATGAGAATAAATTACTCATATGCTCTGTTTCCCAGTGTATGTGTTAGCAGGAGCACCTTCCATGTTAGATTCTACTGTGGAAAGGCCAGGCAGGTGCCAGCAGGGAATCAGAGTCTCTCACTGCTGCCCTTGAACTTATGATTAAGTTAGGACAGATGATGAAGCATTAAAGCTCATCATGGGAGATAAATTGAACCCATAGTTTACTCTGAAACCTGTGAATTTGGGCCATGGTTGGGAGTAGCTATGGCTGAGAAATTTAGTTGAAGAAAGAACTTTATGAAATATGTTGTATCTGGTAAAAAAGTAAAGTCTGTGGTTAAACATGTTAGTTTTGATTTTGCAGTTCAAGCTTCAGCTTTTTCTTACAATGCTTTGAGGAATTCCACATGTTCTTTTAATAGCTTGCTATCATATATTATCTAAGACCTCTGATCCCAACTCTTGGCATTTTCTGGGACTGCTCAGCTGGTAAATCCTGGATCTTTCCTGGCCTTGCTGCAACTGTGAATTTAGTCTCATAGAGAAGTTAGCTTTTCCTTCCCTGAATAGGTTCAACATTTAAATAAAACATCTTCCATTGGCTTACAATACAGAATAGTGTCAACTGGGCAAATATTGTGAAGTGTGAGTTCCAAGAACAGATAAGTAAAATTGCTGTCAACAAAAATATTGTGCTGTGCAGGTGTCACTCAGGGCTGGGCAGTAGCATTCTGTCTGCAAACACCTGAACTGCTTAAGCTGCCTTCTACCTCTATCAAAAGAACTGTAAATAGTTAAGCACAGGTATGTGTTTCTTGTTTTATGATGATGCAATGGGGAAAAAAAAGCACTTGATAATTCTGTTACTTTCCAAGATATTAATATTTTAATAACATAGATCTATCTTCTGTTATTTTTAGCCTGAAAACATTATGCTTCTAGACAAGAATATCCCTATTCCACACATCAAACTCATTGACTTTGGCTTGGCTCACAAAATAGAAGATGGAGTTGAATTTAAAAACATTTTTGGAACTCCAGAATTTGTAGGTGAGTGACATGTTCCTTTGTCTTATATTGCAAATTCCAGAGGAAGTCAAGACATCTTGTCAAAGTTAAAAATTGAGGGATAGAAGTTGTTTTAATCAATTTAATCAATTGCTGCTGTTTGATTAAATGTTTCTTACAGCTCCAGAAATTGTAAACTATGAACCACTTGGACTAGCTGCAGACATGTGGTAAGTTTTATAATGTGTTAGTACTTCTTTTTCCTGTTACTCTACAGTTACTTTTTCCTATTTTGCTCTTAATAGAATCATTGCACTGCAACAGATTTAAAAAAAAAACCAAAAAAACCTCCAAAAACTTAAATACAGTTAATGAGTCTTTGTTCTGTCATTCCATTTTTATACATTCCTTTAAATTAAAAGATAAACATTTAATTTCTGCAAAATTACATTGGAAAACTGGAGTGATGGCAGTACCAGAGTTAACTGTTTGCCACTGTCCACACAGTGGAGCACTCTGAGAAGGAAACATGTTCCTGCAGAGCTTGTGACAGCTTTATTTCTAGGAGCCCTTCATGCAGAGGAGATCTGAGCACTAATGTTGCATGCTGGGAAGGCAGGCAAAAGAGGTCACCCCAACTCAAATATCCTGCTCCTCTGTGTTTCATGTGTGCACTGTAGTAAGTACCCACTGAGTAGAAATAAGCAGAGACTTCAAATATCCACATTACTTGATGTTATATGTAAAATTAATTTTTTTCCCCAAAACCCCATTCTGTAAGAGATGTTAGCAGTTATCTAAAGCCACAGTGGCTGTCTTGCCTCTGTTCCATCTCTACTATTGATTCTGCACATTAGAAAGAATAATGGTCATGTAGAATCCCTGCAGTTAATGTCTTTTGTTTTTTAGGAGCATAGGAGTCATCACCTACATACTGTGAGTACAACAGATTCACTCCTGTAGAAATGTAGAAATGTTCCTAAAGCTCTGTTGCACTAGTACAGAACAATTCTTCCCTTCAGTCATTTAGGGATCTGCACACATGGGGTGGGCAGGGGTTTGTATAAAGGACAGGGGTTATTCTGCAGCTTTTTCAATTTAAAATGAGGGTAGAAGATGAGGGACATTCTGAGCAGAAATCAAAAAAGTCCCTTGCACCATAGGCATTTCTGCATTTTATGGGATCTCATCCGTTCCAAATGGTAGAGGATGGAAAAGCCAAGAGGATTAATTGCTTCTGGAATGACTGTGAGCTGCCAGTGTGAGAGCATAGAAATTGAAAGTTTAACAGTCCCATTTACAAGATGGGTTATTTCAGATGGAAACAGGGAAATTTTTATTTGCTTGTAAAGGCAGCAGTCTAGATTATTATGCATAAGTAAGGTCAGTCATTTCAAAAAGGTGAATTTAAGTTGAAGGAGGAACAGAGAAGTTGACCTTGGGAACTGAGAATTCAACTTACAGGAGAAGAAAAAGGGTTTGTTAAAGCTAGTAAAGGTTGGTTGGGGATAGATATCATTATAGTCAGGAAGCATAAAGTGAAAATAGATCACAGAATACTTTTTAAGTACAGATTATCCTTAGAAGTGTGAAGTGTGTCAACTGGTGATGAATAAATAAAAGGGAGGGAATTACTATGCTGAAGCTCTCAAAGAAATTAGTTTCTATGGGCATCTGGGGACAAGCAGTTGAGAGTTTTAAGATGGAGCTTGACAGTTTGGGAAACTGATTGTGCAATAATGATGCATGCAGCAGAGGAACAGCACTCCTCGCTTTTCCTCTCGTTTGACGTGAGAATTGCAGGAGTGGTCAGTGATCCTTGATCCTAACTGCTTCCACTGAAATCTTGTGACTCCTGGGGAGCAGGGAGTGGACACTGCTTGCTGGGAATGACACCCTCAGCTTTGGCTGTTCCTTGTGATACTCACAGGAATAATTTGCTGCCAGACTTGAAGAAGGTGGACTGTTGTATTAGGTGGATTTGCACTACACAGCTCACAGGTCAGGACAAGTGCAGAGGCTTCAAGGGGAAGGATTGTCTTTTCAGTGTGGAAAATAAACTTTGACCTATGCAGAAGGGTTAGACCCTAAAAGCTGTAAAAGAGAGGTAGGGTCTGAGGAGTCAGATTCAGTGCAACACAGTCCCTTCTTTTCTGCGGTGCAAAGAAAATTTGGGGTATTGGTTGGAGCCCAAGCTCAGGTAAAGAGATTTAAAATGTGGTAGTTGGAGATGGGGCTGAAACGCTCAGGTGGTCCCATCTAACTTCCTGCTTATCTCCCAAGATTCCCAGTCAACCTGGTGGTGGCAATACAGACAAGGTAAAAAGTCTGTTGAGAGTGGGATGATGTAAGCAGTGGTTTAGTATTCAAAACCTCAGTGTAGTTCCCTGAAGTTTGGTGCAGTCGTGTTTTGAGCCTGCTACATCCTGAAACTATGTTATCAAAGCTAGGCATAATAGATAAGCACAATAATAGCCCAGGAGATTATTAAAAAGGAGTGGTATCAATCTCCTTGGTATAAATAACATTATCCATAAAGCAGACTTTTGCAAGTCAGCATCCCTTTATGTTGTGGGAGGAGGAGCCTGGAGGAAAGGCAGGGCAGGAGGGGTCTGGGATGACTCTGTTTTGACACAAGTTTTATGGAGCAGAGGTGCAGAGTCATCAAAGATGAAGGTTGACAGTCACTGCTGAGAGATAGACAAAGCAGGAGGAAAGCATTTTCTTAAGTTGATTGCTAAATGACATTTTATTATGGTGCTGTCTCCATTATATCCTTGCAGTTGGAGCAGGGTGCCAAGAGAATGAAATTTTATGTTGTTCAGAAACAGTTGGATTTTATTTCAGCAAAAGCCCTTTTGCTTGTGGATTCCTTTTGCTGAGCAGCATAGCCCTGCCTCTTCAGTGGAGCTGGCTCTTAGGCAAGACCATGTGCCTGGCAAAAAAATATCATATAAAAATACAAAATCATATATCGTATTTTGTTTCCAGCTGAGAAAGGTTTCTTGGTTGAACCCCCCGTGCAGGGAACTCATTAGCAGCTTTGCAGAGAAAAGAAGTTGGGGCAGAGCTTTTCCTTCCTGAAGAAAAACTATAGAAACACTATGTTATCTGCTTGTATGTTATAGAAGCTTCAGCCTGGTAGTCTTTGTGGGCTCACAGGAATAGAGACTCTCCTCAGCTGAAACTTTTTCTAGTTTCATTAGCAATGACTTAAATGAGACACTCAGGAGAGGAGAAGCTCTGCATTTCTCTCTATGTGCACGCATTAGTGCTGCACTAGAGACTTTAAATTCAAGTCTGGCTCATAACCACAGCTCTAGTGAGCCTAAGCTAGCTCTGTTTATTCCTACATGGCAGAGCTGCTTCAACACAAGAGCCACAGATGTCCTAAGAGTATATTCCACAGTCACTGTAATTTTACTAGGGGACTTTTGCTGCTTATTTTTCCAACTGATTCCTCTTTCTGGCTTATCTAGGCTTAGTGGTGCATCACCTTTCCTTGGAGAAACTAAACAGGAAACACTTGCCAACATCACAGCTGTGAATTACGACTTTGATGAAGAATTTTTTGGCAATACTAGTGACCTGGCAAAAGACTTTATTCAGAAACTACTGGTGAAAGATACACGGTAAGCAGATATTCAGAAAGACCCATTTGTCTCTAAAATAAGCCTGGTGAAATGTGACATTACAAGGAAAAAAGTGTTTCTTGCAGTGTATATTGCCAGTCAAAAGCAAGACAGGAAGATGTTGCTGTGCCCCTAGTTAATCACTGCACCCAGAAACCCTGAGGAGAGAAACCAAATCTCCTCAGCTAAATGCCATGTTCAGGACTGAATTCTCACCTGAGTCAAGCTGGCACAGTGTAGCTGAAGGGCTGAAAATGGTGAGCACAATCTTGAGTTCAGGGTAACAGCCACTCCATTATCTCAGTCTCTTATGAACTACTTCCAAGGAGGTGATACCATGCCAGAATATGCCCCCAGTGGTGCAATGCCAGAAAAATTACTACATGTACTGATGTGGAGTTGTTCTAAGTCTCTGTAGCTGTGGCAGTCCCCTAGGGTTTGTGTGACAGCTATGCAGATCTTTGTTCCCAGCTTACAGGAACCACAGTCTTTTGTTTTTAGTTTTTCTTGCTTTTAATAAAGTGCACACAGAAGTAGCATCTCCTTCCCTGTAACTTTCTTTGTCCTGGAGCAAAGTCAGACTGTTGTGGTTCTTTCTAATGGCTTAATTAAGGGATAAAATAGCTAGGAGAGAGAAGGAGCTGTTCAGTGAAGATTTCTGCAAATTATCAGGCCCCTCAGTGTGGGGTAGAGTAGGTGTTTGATGAGAGTTCTGCACAGGTTGGCCATCTCCAAGGAGAAGTCAGTGCTGTTGGGATTTGTGTCATGTACAGACATGGTGCCTGTGCAATGCTGGGTTTCTGTCTTTGATTCTCGGTGTTGTTAAAGTGCTGTTCACCCAACTGCTCCAGCGCTGAAGGAAGTGAGGTTTGATTCACTTGCATTAGATTTGCACTATTCTTCCAAGAAATGTTGCTTTCGGGAAACAACAGCTCCTGCAGTGTTGTAATACTGTGTTCCAAAGGACAGTGTATAATTGCTATTATAATTTGGTATAATTACTGTTGATTACTTCTGGTATAATTAGTGTTGATTCAGACACAGTCGTATCAAAGGTGTATAGCGAGAATGTATTTTCTAAGCATGTTGGATGAACAAAACAAAGGAATGTATTGCTTTTTATGGAAGGGTGCACAAAAGTACAGGTTGATTTTGATAAAATAAGAATTAAAGTTGTGTGGAGCAAGGACAGTTACCTACTGAAGCTGAGAACAGTAACTAAACCGCACACAAGCGGTGTGCCTCAGGGAGAAACTTAACCCTGAAATTTGAGGGTTTGTCCTGGAATTATCCTGATAAATGCTTCATAGGAAGCCTGGGAGGAGTGTGGGTTAATGGACTTGTGTACCAACTATTTCTCATTCAAGTCTTTGGGGTTTTTTTGTGTTGTTTTTTAGGAAGCGGCTTACGATTCAGGAAGCTCTGTCTCATCCATGGATAACGGTAAGACTGAATAACAAAAAAGATCATGTTTTTTTCCATAAGCAAAGCAGAGATCATATTCTCACTCTTTCTAGTGTGTTAAATGGAAAACTGCCCCCTAAGTACTTTGTTATGCTGTGTGACTCAAAGAAATGTACAGGGAGGAAATTGGTTGGGTCTGACAAAATCCTTGGATTTCTGCAAATTATTTCCTTTATTATCATAACTTTCAAAAAGAGAGTAACAAAGCTCTGATGTTTATTGCACGTTACAGTATTTCATATTGGACTGGGCTTTGCATTCTTCCATTCTTGTTTGCTTGGGCATATACTGTGTGTTTGCTTTAATGCTTTCTTGAATTGAGAGTTAACTGCAATCAATATGGAAAATATAATTTCTCTGAAGAGAGAACTGCTGCACCCCATGTTCTGGTTTGCTTACATTTGTGTGTCTGTATGTATTTTTTCATCATAAACATTGCTTGCTTGTGAATTGTGAATTGTAAAATACATTAGCTAGCATGACTAACGAGGATTTTTGAAATTCAGTTTTAGTTTTGCTTCACACAAAACATTAATTGTAGTGGTTTTAGGGTTGTTGGTTTTCCTTGTATGAATATTGATAGCTTTAACACTGTTAATTGCTAAAAATTAGCATGAAAATAAGTTGCAGCCATGTTGTTTGCACTTATCACATTGGAATGAATGCACATGACTTGTCACATTCAGTTCTGGGCTTGTGTGTCTGGTGTTTGTTTCTTCTAATCAAATGCATGAAAGAAAATCTTTGTGAGCAAAGAATCTCCCAGCATTGTGGAAACCCAGACTGCATCCTTTGTGAAGAGCTTTTGAATGTCTGCAGTCTTGAAAGCATTCAGTAATATTGGTTCCTCTGTCTGATGACTCACCAGCTGAAAGATGAAACCAAAATCCAGGAGAACAAGAAGGTGGAGAACACACAGCTGAAGACGAAACGCCTGAGGGAGTACACAATAAAGTGCCACTCGAGCATGCCCCCCAACAATAGCTACATCAACTTTGAGCGCTTTGCCCACGTCGTAGAGGACCTTTCCCATGTGGAGCAGGGTTTCAGCACCTTGGCTGCATCCCACGATTCCTTGCAGGAGGACATGGATGCTCTGCTTTCCATTTATAATGAGAAAGAAGCTTGGTATAAAGAAGAGAGTGAAAGCGTGAGGCACAAGGTGTCCCAGCTGAAGTATGAATACCGTAAAATGGAGTCCCTTAAAAGGCATTTGAATGATGATATCGAGGCTGTCGGCGCCAGTCTCGCAGGCGTGTGTGGGAAATACGCCGAGCTGCAGAGCCAGTATGACTCCCTCAGACAGGAACTTGCTGAGGAACTCAAGTGGATACAGGATTTAATGAGCAGTTTTCAACTGGAAAACAAAGCTTGTATGAACAGAAACTTTGACTCTGTTTTCAACAAAGATATTAATGAATCACTAATGGAGCTGTTAAATAGATCTTGCTGTGAAGAATTCCTTGCAGGGTTGAATCTTGTTGTGACAGAATCCCATCAATAATACTGAGATCAGGCTAAGTGCAGGGTTTGTTGCTTGTTTCAATGTACATCAGTTTAAAAAGGTTCCAGTGCATAGATTCTACACAAAAACATGACCTAGAATTAAAGTAAGTTCTGATGTATAGCACAATCTATTGACCAAAGCTATACCCTCCCAGTGATTTGTAGTGTTGAAGTTGTTTTTGGTTTTTTTTTTCCTGTGTTCAGTGTCTGAACTTACACAAACAAGATTATCACAGTGGTATGGACACATCTAACACCAAAGCCTTTGGTATTGCCTATATTTTACTCTGCATCATTACAGTTCCTAAAGATTACTGGGTAATTAGTGTGGTAAAAAAGAATAAGTCAGTCTGTACTTAATAGAAACTGGATGTCTGGAAACTAATAAAAATCCCCTTATAGCATCTTTGCTTGGCTGAAGGAAAGAGTTGGGTAGCCCTGCTACTGGCAGTTCTGTACACCTTATGAGACAAATATTTGCAAAGGTTAGATCTGTAAAATAAAGCAAATGGTTGTAGTAATTTAACATTTAGCTAGTACTGTGGAAATTCTCTGTGAAATGGCTGCCAATGAAGAATGTTAGGATTAGTGTTTAGGCCAGTTGTGCAGGGTGAACTCTTCTACCATCAAAGGTAAGGTGAATTTTAAACTAAAGGATTAATCAACAGCTGAGTTTCCTGTCCTGTATCAAAGAAATCCTATTCAAAAGACACCATTGGGAGCTTGTAATGATCAAATGACTGTGTAATTTTGCAGTGTAAATGTTGATTTGTGACTAAGTGATAACACAATCCTCCGATTTGTTTTCTACAGTGAAGATTACAAAGCTACAACCAACTTAATCTATGGTGTGGCATTTGAGACTAGTGTTTTTCATATAAAGATTATTTTCCTTAGATTTTAAAAAGTAAAAGAAAAGTTTACAAACCTTAAATCATGCCCTGCTGTCTTGTATTTCAAATAAGTAGTTTGGTTATACTGTATTAATATGCACAGATGTATCAATTTCATTTTTGAGCACAATAAATAGTTAGTTATGCAGGATGCAATTGTTCCCTGTGGTTGATAGTGACTGAAAAAGATGCCAAGTTTCTGTTGGTATTTGTTGCAAGGTGACTGTTGTGCATCTACAAGAATCAGTGAGATAATAGCTCAAGTCCAGCTAGAGTGAAACTTTACATATATATATTGGCATATATCTTTCACTGGCCCTCCCCCTCCTCCTTTTGCAGAGAAGTTAATGACCTAAATAAACTGAATTGTTGTTGTTCCTAACATGATTAAGAATAACGTTTCCTACTTTGAGATAAAAAATAAAAGCATACTCTCATCCAGTTATTGCACACTACAGTGGACACATTGCTTCCATGTCCTCACAAAGATGTGCAGAGGCTGATGCAAATTCAGAGTCATGAAGACAGTTGTTCACTTGGGGTATTTTTGCTCCCATCATTGTGCTTGAAGGAGCATGAAAACTGGATGTGCTCTCTGTGGCATTGTTCTTGGTACAATAGGTGAAATTTTCAAAAGCTCCGAAGTAGTGTAGATAGCCAGGATGTGACTCTGGCAAGCTGGCATTGATGGCTGGGGAGAATTGGGCTCTACTGTGACAAGTAATATTAAAAATTTTGCAAATGTCCATTTTTTATTATTTCAGAATGCTTCTGCAGGTTCCTTTAAGCTGGAAGACCCATTAAAAGCTGTCCAGGAGAACTTGAACACAGGATTTTATTGTCAGGGGGAGAGAGCTTTAATTCCTAAAATGTAACATAAAGCCTAGTGAGAGTTAGAATTTGCAGAAAACACTCTCAGGCGAGTCTGCCTTCCCTCAGCCAAGATCTCATATTCTTTGTTCATATCCATTTTCTTTTTGAACAAATACATTAGCACAATGAGAATGAGCATTAAATGAGGCCATCTTGTTCCTGAGCATGTTTGGGTGAGGGTAATGTTGTTGTGACTCGATCCTTGAGGCTAATCACACACTGCTTTTGGGAAGAGATCCTGATGTTTGAGAGAATGACAAGGTCACTGGTACTTACACTGGTACATGCAGGGTACTTAAAATGGAGAGGTGGTTATCACCAGTCTGCAGTAAAGTGAGTTAGAGTTGGTGATGGTTCTGCTGCTGAAAGGGCACTGGGAAATTTTTCATAAAGATTGTACAGCTGACATTTAGCCAGTGACTTTTTCCACTTCAGATTGATTTCTGCTTGCTGGCTGTTTGCAGCGTGAGGAAATGATATTTAATGCTTAACTGTACCAGTTCTGTTGAATGCAAATGGTGTGTACATGTAAATGAGAGGGGGGTCCAGCTGATAGCTTGGCTCCTTGAAGTGCTGCTGAGATCCCTGCAAAAATGTACGTACCTACAGCATTGATGAGAAAAGTGAATTTGTTGTCTCAACCATTTCAAGTTACTTTTCTGAAAAAGATGTTTAAATCCTCACTGATGTGTTTTCCATTCTCCTTTGGTACTCTTGCTATTTCAGGTGCATGGCTTGGTTGCATTCCAGTCCAGTTCAGTACAAATATTTCTGTGATATCCACCTCCTCCATATGCAGATCAGAACAGCTGGGATGGTTGAAACTCCATACTCTTGAAGGGCTGATTCCTGGCCTTTCCCTTTTGACTCTTGCCTGATCTGGTTCTGAACCATTTTTTCTCTCAATCTGTCAGATTTGGTTTTATGCTTTATGCAAATTTTGATGTGCTTTTGGAATTGAAATGTGCTTCATTTTCTGAAGGACTGTGTCAGGATTTGTGGAACATCTGTTCCTTAACACCAGGTTGACATCCAAAATGATAGGCATATCACTGTTGGACATGAAATGATTCACACAGACAGCACTCAGTGTGGGATAAAGGAAGAAGACTTTTTTCTGTCGCTTCAGTATTTATAGATTCTTGACAACAACCAGGAATTGAATAGTTAGGTTACCACCTTCCCAACCATTGTGGTCGTGAGAAACGTCCATCGAAAGACATATCTTTAATGGAATGTATAAACATCTATGTTTATAGTTGCTTTCCTGGGAAAGTGTCTAGAAACTATGAAAAACAATATCAGAAGCTTTGATTCAGACACTAGGTATGTGTCTGAATCCTGATCTATATTCTTTTTTGTTCCTATTTTTCCACAGTTAGATACTGCAATTATTTTATTGCCAGGGTGTCAATGCCTTGTGCTCTCGTACTCTGGCTATGGTTAAAGGACAAAGCTGGAGATTTTTTCAGATATCATTATCCTTGTCACTAATACTACATGACAGATACCTTTTGTTCCATTTTATTACAGTGACGTCATCCAGAGAAGAAAGGGAGATGGGGCAGGTATACACAGGAAGCACCTTAGCAACTTTACAAAGTGAAAGCATAGCCTTAGCACCTGCTAGTTTTAGGATTTTATTTGAGATCTGTTTATACCCAGAGTGGGCTAGATTTAGTTCTTTTTCTTCTGCTTTTACCTGTGTGAATCTGCAGCTTCCCCGGCTTTCTTTCAGCCAGCTCCACATGAGGTATCTTGCATATTTTATTCACCAAAGGGAGCCAAACAATAAAATTACTCTTTTATCTTGCAGCCTATGGACAAGCAACAGGCTTTGGTTCGGAAATCATCTGTTGTTAACATGGAAAACTTCAAAAGGCAATACGCTAGAAGGCGATGGAAGGTATGGCAATGAGCCTTTAATCCTTCTCACATGTGGCTTCCCAAGCCTGATGGAATCAGAGGGCAAGATAGAGCTTCAATGTAAAATTGTAATGGGCAGTAAATGAATGAAATGTGTTTGAATATGTCTACACTGAGTATTTATGGGTTTTAAATTGGTTTTCCTCCCTCTCTGTACAGCTTTCATACCGTGTTGTTTCCCTGTGCAACCACTTATCGTACTCGCTGGCGAAGAAGGTCCTGACCCAAGATGAGAGTTCGGTAGGTAGAAGGAAGAAGAACTTACTGTGCAGTCATTTCTGCTGTCCTTATATGAATGAACAGCCCAACGGGAGAGCAGTGGCTCAGAGAGGGAAACTAGATGAGACCATGGCATCATTTGTGTCTTGAATGCTGCTGTATGTTCTGTTACTGTGACAGGAATCTTGTGTAGGGAGAGCCAGCACCTTGGTAGACCTTCTAAGTGCATTTGTGTAAAGCAACAGCAAGGAGCCTGTAGATGATGTCTGGATCCCAGGCAGTAACCATGGGGTGTGACTGAGATCCAATCAGTCACAGGGAACCTCACTGCTCTTGTGCCCAGCTCTGTGATGGAGGGTGGGGGACCCTGGCACTGCCTGTGACCTTCTGGAGTGAAAATGTGAGAGCTGTATTAGCTCTGCTCTTCCCAGTAGATGATACTGATAATACTGGAACAGTATGTATAAGAGCATGGTATCTAATTTACACAACAGAGACTTTGTGGCCTTTCTATTTCAGAGAAACTGTGAAAGCGACAGTGAGGATCTTTTACAAAGAAAAGCACCTCAGAGGAGAAGCAGCCTATCGTAATGGGATGAGAATTCCATGGCCAGGAGGCAGGAAACTTTCATCCTTGCTGAAGTAAGCAGCCCTGGCAGCAAGAATCCTTGCTTCTTGCTTCTCAAACTACACCAACAACTGGATGATGGTCTTAAATGCCTACTGAGCATTTTAGAAAATTTGGAATCAAGATTCCCAGGGAAATCCTACAACACAAGCACCAGCTGGAGTCCTTTTATATGTTGAGTGTTTCAGTGATACTTCAGTCTATTTCTGATGCTGAGTCCAGTCAGGGTGTGGGGTTCCTACTGATAATCTTTTACTGCAGAATAATTAACTTTCTGCACAGTGGTTAAGACTATGTGCATTATTATTTTGATCAGGGAAATTTCTAGTGAGTCTTAAGGATTTTTTTAATGCAATTTTTATATTTATTAATAGCATAAATATTTGATGGCAGGTATCTGACAGGTTTTGTTCACTGTGTGCAGCATTCTGTTATTGCTGTAACTGAAGAGAAAATCACAGTGACATTACATACCATAACCTTGATTTTGTGGACGTGGCAGTAAATAGTTCTGAAATGCAACAAGAACTGTGCTCTGGCCATTGTGTCTGGCTGGGGATTAGCACAACTCCCTTTCTCAGTGGGAGTACAACTGACTGTGGCACTGAGGTAGGCCAAGGCAATTTTTGGATGAAAAAGAGAAAAAAATTCTGTGGTGATTTTCATGCACCCAAATACAGCATTTTCACAGAATAATGGCAGGTGCCTTACCAAACAAAAGGGCATTTAGAAACCTAAGGCATGTGAAGAAATAGTCTTTATTAGACTTTGTTATTATTTTCATCAATATTTTTATTGTCAGCAAATTGGAGACTTGTTAACACCTATTTGTACAGGTGCTGTTTACATGTAACCCAGACTGCAGACATCTGTATTTTATTCAGGGAGTTGTATCCAAAATTGAGGAATAAGCACTTTGATATTGATGTAACATCTTTGCACAGGGAAGTTGCATCATTTTAACTATATTAGTTTCTAAGCCAGTATTGTTCAATTGGTACCAAAAAATGTGCATAGGGTATTTTTTCATTGAATGTATTTGCTATTAGAAGTTCCTATTTATTTTGCCATTTAAGGAATTAAAAATCAGAAAGCAAGTCTATTAGAAACAACTATAGATGGATGAGGAAACTGATTTTGTTGACTTTACACTTGTCACCTCTAGGCTAAGGTTTTGGAGCAGGTGTTGAAAACTAGTATCAGCTTAACTTTGATGGCTTCCAGTTTCTAAGAGAGAAATAAAAATATGCTGCTTTTATTTGTAACTTTGTATCCTTGCTTAGAGACTAAAATGCAGTTGATAAGAAATTACTTCTGTGAAAGGAAGGAAATTTATGAGAAGCTTTGGAGGAGAGAGGCAGAATGTAGGATTTGATGGAAGAAACATAAAATGAAGGAGGGGGTGAAATGAAAGGGACATGGAGGTGATCCTGGACTGGGAATGATGGAGGAAAGGAAAGAGAATGTGGATATATGAATTGTGGAGGCTGGAGAGTAAATGTTTCTGCAAATATGGCACTGCATTTTTATACTACTTCTTTAATTTTTTTATTTTGTATCTTGTGCTGCCATAGCCTGTGATGTGTGCTGGTCAAGGGATAGGGTGCAGGGCATGGGCTTCTCTACATATTCAGTTAAAAGGTGTATTTCTGAACTTTCTGTGTAATTCTTGAGACAGAATCCTCAAAAAGTGTTGCAGTAATGTATGTATTAAGAGGGAGCAGTAACAGGGAAACCTGAGGTTTCAGTGTATCCTCATTTCAGCTGGAATATAGTTAGTTTTCTGCTTAGTAGCTGGTACTGTGCTGTGTTTTAGATTCAATATGAGAATAAGGTTGTTGGTAATATGCTGGTGTTTTAGTTGTTGCTAAGTAGTGATTATCATAAGTCAGGACTTTTCAGTTTCCCATGCTCTGCTTGTGATGAGGTGCACAAAAAGCTGGGAGGGACCATAGCCAGGGACAGCTGACCCAAAATGGTCAAAGGGATATTCCAGCCCATGGAATATCATGCTCAGTGTGTAAACTGGGGTGAATTGGCTGAGAGACACAGGTCACTGCTCAGGGATGGGCTGGGTATTGGCCCGTGAGTGGTGAACAATTGTGTTATGCATCACTTGTCTTTCCTGGATTTTATTCTTCTCTTTTCCCTTCCATTATTATTAATTATTATTATTATTATTATATTTTGCTTCAGTTCAATTACAAAACTGTTCTTATCTCAAAGTAACCCTTGAGGTTTGCTTTCCAATTCTCCCCACCAGGGCCAGGGGAAGGTGAGTGAGAGGCTGTGTGGGGCCTAGTTGCCAACCAGGCAAACCATGGCAGTGTCATGGAGTGTCTGTTTCATAAACAGAATACTAAAAATATATATTTGGATAAAAAAAACCACTCAGCTTACCTACTAAATTTTGCTTCCTGCTTTCCCAAGGATGTGGAAAACGAAACAGACTCCAAGACAGTGGTATTTTTCTGAATTTCTAGACTTTAAAAGCATCTTTGGTTTCCAAATTTGAGATTGTGGCATGTGTATGTAAATCACACTTTTAAAAATTGGGTCCTTGTTAAAATAGGTTGTTGGATCAGGATTGTGCTCCCATGGAAATGGAGTCATTCTCATGTAAAATTCTAGCAACTACTAAGAAAGATGGGACACAGCAGAAAGGCAGACAGAGGAGTGCAAGGCTGTGTGAAGCTCTGGCTTATTGATTCTACATTTATAAAGACTTGAGGTGGTATTTTAACAGAGACATTACAGACATCTCACTGTCCAGTCTTCAGTCATCTTTGTGTCCATGTGAGCTAAGGCCAGATCTTTCTCTCTGGCATTCAGTCATTCCTCATGGCTTCCAAGCAACTTCATTGCACAGAACCCACAACATGCAGCACTCCTGTCCTGTCCAAACTATCTCCTGCTTGTTCCAGGTAGGAGCATGCTGTGGGTGTAGAATCTCTTGTTCTCAGGACTAATGTTGGTGATGCATTAGGAAGCTTTACAGTGTTTTCCCAGCTGTGTCCGTGGCCCTGTCTGTTCCATGGGGTGAAGCTTAGCCCGCTCAGGGCAGCACAGTGCAATTGTGCTGCTTCCAGTGCTGGCACAACGCCTGCTCACTGCAGGGCTTGGTCTGAATTCATCACCCATGGGTTTTGAACAACCACCTACAGGTTCCTTTTAGTAAGGGGCCAGAAGAAAGACATGGAAGAAAACAGAACATTAAAAGAATTTGTGTTACAGAATCTTGCTGGGAGAAAAAAAAAAAATCTATTTTCTATGTATTACTCTGTTTTGCAGTAGGGAACCTGGAGAGAAATGAAGTGATAGTCTGGGGGGGGAAAAAAAAAGAAAAAGATAAAGCACAATAAAAAAACCCCACAAAAGACCACACATATTTTTCTTAAAGTATGCCTATTTGGCTATTTTGATTCTTATTTTGGCAGTGATGTTTTTTAATAGACATATTTTTGTTGTTTTGTTTGTTGGTTTGGGGGATTTTTTGTGTGCCTGGAAATACTACAGCCTGTCAAAAATAGCGAAGATATTTGTTATTGTGATTTGCTAATAAAATGTTGGAAAGCAGGACGGGTGTGTGTGTCTGTTTCCCCCAGTCCGGGAGCGGGGCCTGAGGCGAGGTCNTCTCCCATTGCCTTGCCTGCCTCTCCTTGGTCTTGCCTGGCAAAGCCACCACTTTTCTTGCCTTGCATTACCTTTCTCACCCGTCCCCCACCTGGAATTCAATACCCCTCTTTCTGTGGAATTTTTTAACTTGTCTTGCCCTGCCTTCTCCTCCCAGGACTCTCAAGGCTTACAGGTACCTCCAGTGTTTCAGGAGCATGTCACAGGAAGACCAGAGGTGCAAGCACACCCACCTGTCCTGGCAGCTTTCTTCTGGCATCTGTCTTGAATTTTGGACACAAAATTCTCATTTCACCCTTGGGCTTCAGGACCAGAATGACAGCTCTTTTGCTTCCCAAGGAAAGCAGGTAACCCAAGTGTTTTAGGTGCAGATTAGAGAAGGCCCATGCAAGATCAAGGCCACACAGAGCAGTCTGTCCTGGCCGCTTTTGTGTACCAGCAATCCTTCAATGTACCTGTCACTTGCCTTGGCAACCCAAGAGTTTCCTGGCCTTGCCCTGCTAAACCTCCTTTGCTTTGCATTCTCCTGCGTGCCCCACTCTTGACCTGCCTCCTCCTCTTCTCCAGGGCCATGCCTTGCCAGGCCTACACCTCCTTTGCATTTCCTTGCCATTCCTGTCCCTTCCCTTGCCCTGCCTTGTTTCCCCACACCTTGCATTGCCTTGCTGTCCAGTCTGGAGCCTTCCCCTGGCCTTCCTTCCCTCCACTGCCCTGTACTGATCTGCTCATTCATCCCGCCCCTCACTTCCCTTCCTTTGTCCAGGTCAAACCTTTTGTCTCCTCCTTTTCTGGAACTCTCATTGCCTCGCCTACCACTTGTTGCAGTCGTTTCACTGTAACTCCAGCTCTGTTGTGATGGGCTCTTTAGTTTGCCAGCTGGATCAGAGGCTTTTGTGTGTGGTTTTTTTTCCCTTCGGCCGTGGCTGGGGTATTCCCGCCCCTTCCCCTTCCCGCGCCGCCGCCTTCCCCCTCAGCGGGTTCTCTCACACGGGCCCTGGCCCACGGGACCCCGGGCTCCGGCTGCAGCTCGCGTTTCTCCCCGTGCTGTGTCTGTGTCCATTTTCCCTCCGGCCGGCCCGCACAGCCGAGGGGGAGCTGCTCCTTTGTTGTGGGGGCCCCGGCGGGCGATCCGCTGCAGATCCGCTTTTTGTTCCTCCGGCCCCGGCGCGGCGTCTCTGCCGCTCTGGCCCGTGTGTTCCCAGTTCCCTGGGCTCCAGCGGCACAGGCTCGGCCAGTGGATCCCTGCCCCGCGGCTCCACCCCGTCTTGGAAAAGCCCCTAATGCTCGGGAATTGATTAGAGAATTCCTATCTCCGTTACTGTTTATCTTTACCTGTCGGTATTTTATTTGTGGAAAGTTTGTGTGCCCGCCAGCTGTAATTTCTAACTGGTTCTCACAATTCCCAACCCCCCGAGGCGTTAACCCTTTAAAAGGACACGGTCAGACCCCCTATCCTTTGCCATTCCTCCTGGATTTCTCCTTGCAAAACAAATCTGTGAATTGCAAACCAGAAGAGTCCTCCCCTCATTCCTTCGCCTGGCCTCAGAGACGCGTGTTCAAAGAAGGGCTGAAAAGCCAAACCCGAGCTGGGGCTCAAACAGCAGCCTTGGTTCGGGCCCCTCCTGGCCCGAGGCAGAGAGGAACACAAAACCGATCTGAGCTGGCCCGGGAAATCTCTGGCCGGTGTCAGATGATGCCCAGACGTGGGGCCTTCCCCTCACTCCAAGGCAGGGGGCAGAGGACCCACAGAAAGTGAGTTTCTGATCGCTATTGGGATGTCAGTCACCCCAGGAACGTGACTCCGCTGTTTTCAGCCGAAGACTCTTTTGAGGACAGAAGCAATAACCCCTGCGCACCAAGGGGCTCCTTCTTCAGGTCAGGACGACGCCACAAGCAACGAGAAGACTGAAACCCCCGCGGCGGGAGAGCAGGGAACCAGGTGGGAATGGGCAGGGAACCGTGTGGGAATGGGCAGGGAACCGTGTGGGAGTGGGCAGGGAACCGGGTGGGAATGGGCCGGGAACCGGGTGGGAGTGGGCAGGGAAGTCCCATCCCAGGCAAAAGTTCTGGACTGTGCTTTTCCTGTGGCTGTCGGGTGTGGCAGACAGACGGAACATCGGGTGTAAAATGGGTGCCAAATTGTCTGTGGCACAAAGAGGAATTTTTACCCAAGTTGTTGGAGTCCTAGAGGCGAGGGGGAAACCGTTTCTAAGGAAAAGTTTAAAAAGCTAATTCACTGGGTTTTTCTACACTTCCCTCAAATGTCCCCCGCAGATGTATCTTCTGATTCATTTTGGAGCAGAGTGGGAACAAAATTGACTGAGTCAATGAGACACTTCTGCAGCAAAGTTAATTTCTTTGTTTTAATTAGGCTAGCACTCACTGAAAAAGGGGAAATAGAATAATGTCCATCAAATTTTATGCTCTTGCAGCCCTGGCCAAGCTGCAGGAGATTCTTCCCTAAAACCCATTATCCCAGTTCAAACCACCAAGGTAGTTCATTTTGCAGCTCCATCTCCTACCCCTTCTTATACCCATTAAAGCCCTCCCTTCCCTCCTAGTAGTCCTTGGAGTGCACAAAATGAAGGAGAACGCATAGCTGGCCCCTTCCCCGGTGCTCCACCAGGTACCCAGGGGCTACAAAACGGTGATGAGCACATGGTGAAACACCCAACTCCTGCTGCTTCTTCCGACAACTTCTTCTTCTCCCCTTCCCTTCTCAACCCCTTCCTCCCCAAGGACATTCCCCCTCCTGGTACCCCAGACCCTCTCCACCTCAGCCCACCTCTGATCCCACCTCTGATCCCTCCTCTGATCCCTCCTGCCCCTCTGCAGTCCCACCTGCCCCTTCTCGCTTGCTGGTTCCCAGGGCACTCCACACCCTGGAGATAGGAGGTTGGGGAAGGAGTTATCAGAGGGACAAAAATCTGCTCCACTCGCAGTTCCTGTGACTTTTAATGATCGTGGAGAAACATTACCAGAATGGAACCCGTTTTATTTTCAAGTGAAGAGAGGTTTGTGTAAAACCCTAAAAGAGTTTGGAAGAGAAAGTGAATTTTTCAAAAGTCTTTTAAAGGCAACCCTCTCTTCCAACCGATTAGTTCCATATGATTTAAAAGATTTGTTTTCATGCCTTCTTTTTTTTTTTTTTTTTTTTTTT